CTTCCCTAGAGCCTATGGAGCCTGGCATCTTTGGGGTATCATGTGCTGTGCTGCAGTAGGGGCACTCCTGTGTACCAGTTGTCTTGATAGCTCCATCCGTCCACATCTACCCAAGCACCCTGATGTGACTATAGAGGGAACTGCCACACAAGTGGATGTTAGACGGAAATACTGAAGTACTGATATCTGTTGTATTTGAAAAGGAAATGAACTCTAGTCTTGATTATTATTTTTTTAATCATGTTCAAAAAATGTATCCACAGTAATTTTCACAGCTGCTGCTGATTTGTTAGTACATCTGTCCCCAGATCTCCCTGCTGTTTGCTTTATGGTTTACAATCTTATTTTCATTTGTTCAAAGAAATGTTTTTCTCTCCTCTGTTATTACGTGAGGTACTCACATGAACAACAGCATGGGGAGAAAACTGTCCGTACCCACACCCCTGTCAAGCATGCAAAGCAAACAGGCATGAAAGCGGGGCCCCCAGCCCATCTCACAGCCCCACTCATTGTGACAAAGGTATAAACACATTGGTGTCCATCTAAGAACTGCTTTAATTCATTAAGAACACCTATTCTGTGCCACAGGCTTCAGAGGGAAAGCCTGTTTTCTTCATTAGGTCAGTTGCTGCAATGGAAAATACAGGCAGCTTTGAGACTCAAAGACTGCTCAGCAAGTTTATGTCCAGAATTTGGCCCATTTTTCCAACTGTGCACACAATTTAAGGCAAGATAGGACCTCTGGCTGTAAACCATTCATCTCCTAATATCTGCTTTTGGTATCTTGTGGTCTGACAGCCCTCAGAAGCAATCCCATTTTCATGGGAATGCAGAACTGAAGGAGACATAGTTTATTTTTGTTAAGCTATTTGTCTGAGGCTATGTCAGTTGTCAGATGTTTCTGAAGGGGAGAACATGAAACAACACACCACGGCCAGCAGAGGCAGGAAGCTGGAAGGAAGCTTCACAGGGATGGTGATACCCGGGAAAAGACACCCAGAAAGTGCAGAGCACTGGCTCAGGGAGAAACACAGCATGGAAAAATGCCCAGACAGAAGTGCCAGTTCCTCCAGGCTGTCACCCCGCCAGAGCTAACATGATCTGCTCCTCAGAGACTCAATGTCATCCCAGCCTTCCCGCCTTCCCAGTGGTGCCAGGCTGAGGACTTTATCACAGAGCCTACGTGAGAGGGAGGAAGGGAGTTAAGGAAGAAGAGAGGTGTTTTTTTGTTTGTTTGTTTGTTTTAATTATGGTCATTATGTAATTGGATAAAAGGTAGTAAATTCTGAAGTAGAAAAGACTCATCGCAGACAGTGAAATTACTACTCCACAGGTCTATACTGCAGTTAAATGAATAACACTTGACATATGCCTCTGCAATTGCTATCATGGTAAATATTTCAGATGGGAAACTAAGGCACAGGTCAGGCACCTGGCTGCAGTCACACACTTCCGACCCAGCCCTGCTGTGCACACCTCAACATGTGTCTCTGCACCACAGAGATAAGAGCCATGTGGGAGCCCTGAATTACTCCGTCCAGATACCATTTTCAAGGCTTATCACTATTGTGCTACTGCAAGTTTAATGCACGCTGGTCACTCAAAACTCAAGATTATCAAATGAAAGCACGATCAAGCTTGGGTGAAGCATTCTGCAGATACACGTTTTGTAACAGCGCTAAGCTCTGAGAGCAAATAGCTCTGGAAGGGAGATGTTTGCCCTCAGTGTGCTCCAATAAACTGATTCACTTTTTTTTTTTTTAACCACTTTTTTTTAAAAAAAAGCTGACGCAAGTTTGTCAAAGGGAGTTGTTGGGGTGTAGCTGCTGTTGATTGGCTCATCTGATACACTCCCATTTGTCTTTAAATCACTGTCCAACTGCTCTGGATTGCACACAAGCAAACTTTTCAACACAGGTGCAAATCCTAAAAGATAGAACCCGCTTAGCAAGCAAGAGAACCAGCTCAGCTCGCAGGTAAACCTAAAACATTTTTCTCTATAATGTATGATCAATTCATTTTAGACACCATCCACACCTTCCAAAATTACAAATGAGAAATGCAATCAATTAATCTGTAAATTTAAGTGCAAGATGAAAAATGGGCTCCTTAAGATTTACTGACATGGTGATTTATGTTGGCAAGTATTTGTGGTATTTCTTCCAAAATGAAATATAGCCTTTTTTTTTTTTTTTTTTTTTTTTTTTTTTTTTTTGCACAGAAGAACAAAATGTAAACAACTACAGAAGTAGCAGGAGGTGTCTAAAATTGACCAGACAATTAATAAATGCTTGCTTTCCTTTGGAGCCCTTGCCTAACTTCAAGGCTCTTGATTTACTTGGCTAAAATTCCAGAAAATAAATGAATTTGTGGAAGCAGACTTTGCATTTTAATTGTTTATTTCACAGTGATAACACATTTCATTTCGAAATAGCTGTGCAGACAATAATATTGCAAGCTCGCTGTCAGGAAGACGAGGAATCTGGCAAAGTCTGCTAACTCAGATACCATGGTGGAACTTACAAATCTTGCTACTGCAAAACCTGCGAAAATGTTATTAGTTATATCTGTGACCTGGCATTATTTGTGATCAATAACCATTCTCTAAATGTTCTCACTGCAGATCAGATGGAAATCAGTAAGACTGTGATATCAGATGCCAAATAAATCCACTGATTTCTGTGTCCGTTCTGAAAACCAGTATTTAATAAGCAACAAATAACAGTACTCAGTACTTGAACAGTAAAATAGTTGTATAGGAATTTTAATAACTTTCCTCTAATAGTGGGCAGATCACTTTTGCAACCAGTATTTCCATTTTAATGCCATACTTATTTCTGTTCATCAGAATGACACAGGAAAGAATAAAGCCAAGTTTAAGGAATACTGTAGAGCTGATGCACTTCTTTTTTGCAGGAGTTGTGTTGTCATGCAGAGGGGTGGCAATGGTCCCCTTTGCTTTGCTTGTCCTCAATAGATCCTCACTGCCATCTGAGGACTTGTGGCTCCACTGGAAAATTCCTGCTTTATGCAGTAATTCCACAGCCTCTTGTGATGACGCCCATAAGTCAGATTATTCACTTGTGTAAATGTTTGACAGGACAATGTCCAAACGATTCTTATTCTGTAACGTGTATTTCTAGTCAATTTTTTTCCCTCTTCCAAACTGTTTACTGTGCTGTACAGAATTTCCTCCTCAGTCTAACCTCTGTGTAACTCAACTCTTCACAACTTTTTTTTGCTTACTTCTCTCGTGTCCAACTCTTTGAAGATGTGTATGCTTTGGACTGCCACATCTGGAAAAGACATTTCTCCGACGAACAGCAGGCAGTGCACACAGCAGAGATTTGGCCCTATATCAGAATAGGGCTAAGTGCAAGCAGGCGTGCCTGTTTGGTTTTTAGACATTAAACTCAAAATAAGCATCAGGAAGTGGAACAACTCTCTTCCTTGAACAGGACAGCATCTGTATTTGAAGGTTTTGTGAATGAAGCTGCAGTTGGGAGGGCTCTGGTTTTTTAATTTTTTTTATTCTCGCGGCGTTATTCATACCCCGACTGGGCAGAATCCCCAGGTTGCAGGAATGTGAGCCTGCCAGCTGCACTGCCTGCTGCTCACATCCGTGCTCGCACTCCCCGGGTGGCAGCAGAAAGGAGTAAACAGAGCTGCGATCTCTGGTAGGAAACCTCCTAATGCACTCTGATATTGCTTTTCCTTTTCGGTTGTCTGGTCTGGGTGGACGGTTTTAGTAAGAAGTAAGGAGGCTGACTTTATTTTCTGGACCAGGGTCAGTTTTAGCCTCCAGGACTGGTATTTAAAGTTTACATTTGCATTTTAAGCCTATGCACTCTAACATTCTGCCACTACAGATACATTTGCAGATGCTTTTAAAGACAGCATGTTATAGTGAAGGTCTGGTCATCAAGAGAGAATATACATTCAAAAATGCAAAACCAGGAGAAATTGCAGATTTAGTGCAACAAAGGATCAAACGTGGAAATTATTAGTAGCATTGTTTTCCGATATTGTTGTTATGCAGTGTTAGCATTTCTTTTTATGAGAAAGGAAATGGCTCCAGTCAGTGTGCTCACCTGCGAGGCAGAGGCGAAGGGCCGGTAGGGTGCAGAGCTGGCACGGGTGGGACAGGGACTGCAGTGCTGCTCAATCTGTGGTGCTTGCTCCCTCCTTGTCCTGCTTTGTTGTTTCCTGGGCTAAGAAATGGAGAAGTGACATGCCTCAAGGAGTATCTTTATGAAGAGAAAAGTGTTATAAAACTAGAAGGTTTCTTCCAAAATAGTTTGCTCCTGAATGTGGGAATAAGCAGATGAATATAAATGTGTGTTTGCAGACTGTAACAAGAGACTGCTGAAACACTGCAGGTGAAGTTCTTTTTGTAACTTTGGTTTGCACAGCTTCCCTTGACCCATACAGAAATTAGCCCACAGAATATATAGAAATCCACAAAGAGATCTGAGCATTTATTCATACCATTTTTTAAAAGCAGAATTTTTTCTGATAAGAGTAAAATCATAAGACTTTTATCTGTGTAATAATCCTGTGTGAGCCAGAGCTCCGGCTGCGGGGTGGGTGAGGGCTGGACACAGAAGAGCAGAAACCACTGTATGAGAACTGCACCTGCTAATTATCAAAATAGTGATAATGCAGAGATGCTCATATTTACAGATTGAATCCAGGGAAGGGGACGAATCATCAAGGCATTTAAACCTGTGACTATGTTCATCTTACAACAAATGATTCAAAACACCGAGAATTTCTCTTGAATGTGTACATTTGGAAGCAGTGTTGGCAAAACCCTGATGTACTCTTCACTTCTAACAGTGAGCTCTTCTGCATCACCATGCTCTGGCAGTACAAAATCAGCAATTCCAGTAACTACTTTCACCTGGATTAGTAATTATGCCAGATGCGTCTATTGGCCACTACATTCTCCGCCATTTCAAGGGAGACAGAAGGGCCGAGTGCCAGCATATAAAGGAACATTGTGCTTGCCCAGAATTTTCCCAGTCTGCAACAGTCTCCTTTCCTAATGCTATTTACAAAGAACAAACACAAGCCCAACGATTCACAGTCGTTTATCTAATTTGAGGAAAACTCTAATGAGTCCTGTTGTGTGTTGTTTGCAGAACAGAGTGTTCTGGCAGCTCCCCATGGTAGGGAGGACCCACGGGCAGGCACCGCAGTCCTGTTTACCTTGAAGAAGAGACCGTATGTTGGAAAGCACTGACCACTCCATGGATCTCATGGAGCAGCAAAAAGTCAACATTGAACTGGAAGAGCAGAGCAACAGCGGGGAAAGCCTGGAAGACAACTACACAGAGCTGATTGACTCTGAAAAGGCTGCAATTAGGAGGTAAGCATTTAAGTGGAAGACTCATCTGTTCTGGCTAAAAAGCAGTAATCAATAAACAAGCTTCACTAATGGCATCTGGAACTTAAAACATTTCCTAGGTAATATGCTTAAATTAGTGTGATTGCTTAGATAGTGTTTCCCCTGAGCCCCAGCCTTCCTGCTCTGCTCTACAGTGTCCAGCACGGCAGGGGCAGCCCAGGGCACCCAATGCGACCACCACCGGGAGTGACCTTTGCAGGCTCCCCACCCCAATCCTGGCAGCTCCCACCCACACAAATCAATGTGAAAACTGATACCCATGTAGAGCAGCGCAAGCCAAGCACGCTCCTCACATGCTCTAGCCATCTGGGACAGGGGCAGCTCTGGCCAGGGCAGGGGATAGAGGGCAGCAGTTTCCACTGGGAGATGCTCAGGCACCTACAGCAGGGACCCATCGTGCTGCCAGCCTCTGTGCAGCCTCAAGAAGCAGCCATCAGCCTCCAACTCCCCGCTCGATTAACCCATTTCCAGCAAGACAGCCGCAGGGCACTTTCCTCCCCTAATGACAAAAGGCATGTACATAATGTGTGTCGTGGGCCTTATCTGATGTTTTCTTATTTTTCTTTGTGTTTAGCCCATTTGCTAGTGACGATGCAGAAAGTCAGAAGTTCTTAACAAATGGATATCTGGATAAAAAGAAATTGGAAGACTATAATGAAGAATATGTAAGTTGTATTAATTTTTAAGTGTAATTACAATTAAATCCCATTAAGCTGAAATCAAAAGTTTCAGTAAATAAAGTTACTCTGCATCTTGATCAGCATAATCTTGGCTTTAGAACAGTAAGCAAACGTTTTCTAAGTTAGTGCAGCAAACTCTTTCTATTGTCTTGCAACTAGAACTATGTCTTTCAAAGCAATGAGAAAAACTTTCTCAGATCACACTCAGTACAGCACTCATGGCATCCCACCCAAGATATCCAGCCCAGAGTGAATCTACATACCTATTTCTGACAGGAGTTCTCGTTCCCAGATACTTTGTTTCTTCCATTTAAGGCAGAGCAGAGACCTGCTTGTTTCCAAAATTCATGTAAATGAATCTACACCCAGTTGCATTGTGCTAAAGAAGGGATGCTCCTGATCAGATCCACACAGATACCCTTCCCTTTCAACCCCTGCTGCCTCCTCTGGCACATTTTTAGCTCTATAGAGAAAGCAGTATATCTGACTTTGAGAAAAATAATCCAATTGTTAAGCCAATAACTGGAAAAACTACCTGATAGCAACATGTATTTTTGTTGAGGTTGGTCAACACACGGCCCGCTGTGGCTCCGTTACCACAGCAGTTTGTTGGCTTCAAAAGGCTCCACCTCTAAGGATCGAGAGCAGTGAAGGAAAAACCAGTAGTTAGAACAGTTAACTTATTGCACCCAGTAAAATGCAAGCTAATAGTCATCTCTGTTCTTGCTTCCTACAGCACCGGGGCAGAACTTCCTTTGGCATGTCCTCCTTCAACCTCAGCAACGCCATTATGGGCAGCGGTATCCTAGGGCTGTCCTATGCCATGGCCAACACAGGAATCATCCTTTTTGTGTAAGTACATAGAAATAAAATGGATAGAATATTAGCAGTAATTTAGAGCTGATTTTTTTTCTGTGGTTAGAAAGGTAAGTTAAGCTTAAGAGTCATGTTTTGTTAGCTGAAATGTTTTATAAGAGCTTCTGTAATGAAAATATTTTAGCTGCACCACAAGGAACCATCCACAGCTGACAAACCTTTTTTTTTTTTTTCCCCTCCCTCTGTTTTATGTCAGGAACACAACTGACAATGGATGCTGTGTAGTCAAAAAAAAAAAAAAAAAAAAAAAAAAAAAAAAAAGGAGAGGGGGGGAGTGGGGAAGAGGAGGGGAAGGGAAGAAGGGAAGAACAGCATACTTGTCCTAAAATAACAATACCTATCTCACTGGTTCATTATGGGAAGTTCACAGGAGCAATAAATCACATGAGAAGTTTTACACCATCCTGACTATCTAATCACTATGTAGAAATGGGAGAATAGTATTTGATATAGGTCAGAAATGGCAATAGGCTTTGATTGCAAAGGCATGCACAGATTGATTCAGATTTGATGTTGCTTCTCCAGTCTATTTGTACTCAGTGTGCACAGATGACAGCAGAGGAATGTGGCTGAGATATTCTATCTATACAAAATGAGATTTGATAGACAGTAACAGATAGTCATATGAAGTTTTTTAATTTATGGATAATCCTATCAAATGAGGGAGACTGTACAAAAAGTTAGTGGGGTTTGTTTTGTTTATTAATAAATGTATTTAATCTTAACTCTGGCCTTAATTTTAATCCTCCATTAGGTTAGAACACGGTATGATGGTACCATATGACATCAGGTCATCGTTTTACATTACTGAACTCTAGGAAGCCTTTAAATCAGGCTGCATGGCTATCTCTATATGGCTTTTTTCTTCTCAGTGTTTTTTTTAACTAGAACAGCAGCAACATTTGAAATGCTACACATAGCTCCCAGTTGCTAAGAAACATCTCCTGTTTTGCCAGCCAAATCTGTAACTGAACATTATCTGTAGATGCAACTGCTGCCACACTCCTGGATAAGTGTTTCCCAACACCTGTATTCAAATGGTTAAATATAGTTTTTGCAGATACAAAAATGGAACTTAGTTCTATAACTGAGTACATTAGAATCTGGAAAATGTAGGATTCTTTTTTCCCAGCTTTCTCTGAGCACTTGTACTAACCAGTACTGTCATAAATTATCACTGCAAAGAAAATTATGATATATCAAGACTTGAGGGGAAAAAATTACCCTTGCAGCATTTTTGTTCTTCAGGATCCCTTCATCCAAAGGATTGGCTGAAAAAAAGTCTGAAGTGAGCCTAATGGCATTAGCTGTACTGTCAGTGCTAAAGCAGAATGCAAGCCTGCAGTTATGCTAGAGCAATCCTATGGAATCATATAACAAAAACAAAGGATGTCTCCACCCCACAGTTCATTTTCTTTTCTGTCCTACTTCCATACTTTGTGCATTAGAACATTCTTCCTTCTGGCAGAGGAAGGAGTTTTATTTAAAACTGAAGAACTGTGTGAGGATATAGTTACCCCTGTGGCATGTATATGCTTGCTGGAAGTTGCTCTGTTTTCACGGATCATGACGTTAGTAGCACAGAAAAATTTCATCTACTAAATGGAAGCTGCTGTACATTAATTCTAATTTAGACTATGCTGGCAGCAGTTAATTTACAGTTCTCACACTGCCCAAATACTCTTCTACTGAAAGATTTTCTACAGAGTGAAGTTGACAGAAGGGCTTCTAAAACTCAGAATCTCCTCAGGAGCTGCCATTGCACCTTCCTCTCCCACAGAGGAGGTTTGCACAGGCATAGAGCACACACCAGAGTGTCTCTTCTGATGCCTGGCAGGGTTTAGAAAGTGTGGCCAGGATGACTTTAGTTTACTGTAACTGCACTCCATATGCCAGGACTCAGAGGTCATGTCTTTGTATAGAGGCTGCATGGTGTCATCAAGAAAGATGACATTTTGGAAAGATGCACTGCAAACTCAGACATGAGCTCCCCTTAGTGTACGGCATGAGCTCACTGCATGTGAGAAGTCTACTCACTCAAAGTCTGTATTGTTGTCTGTCTCTCTTAGAGAAAGCAACTTGATCTGGTGACCACCACCTGACTACTGAACAAATGTCTCTTGGGCTATAATTCATTTACAAAGAATTGGCTGTTGGTGTCTCCCATTTCTATATGAAGCTTTGTGTTTGGAGGAATGGAACTCTATTCAGCCATTGAATAAGGCATATTGGTAGAGTTGGTATTTCCTACCTCTGTCATGTTATCATCACATCTCCTTCCAATGCTTATGCAGGCTGACAGCAAGATGGTTTGGTAGTAAGATATGTTGCCCACAGTGTTATGCACTGAAAATGTCATGCAATACATTTTTCACCAGCGTTTTGCAAGAGGATGGTATCTGAAATCACAAAAGATGCAAATGTGTGGAAGGAACATGGCAGTAATCAGAATTAATGAAGGCAGGCACCAGTACCTTTAAGCAGACTAAGTTAGAGAATTCTGCAAGTGCTGCAAAAGCATATCTTCCACTGTCATACCACACTTTAGCATTATGTAAGATTCCTTATATAGTTGTACTTTGCAAAGTGTGCATCTGAAGTTAATATCTACAGTTGCTCAGTAAAATAGGAGAAGTCTAGGCAGAAACTGGCAGTGAATTTGTCACAGTCACAGTTCAGGCTTCGTGGATTTTTTTTTTTTATAAATCTGTGTAAGGAGAGATAAAATACGGGGCCACTGAACAGATGAGTCCAAAGACCTGAGATCTGTTTATTTTTGTTGAGTCTTACTAAAACATGGCATTCTGCTTCTGTGGAATAAATTGGCACCTGTCTGGACTTAAGCAAACATTGAGAGGCTTTTGAAGTGTCTAAGGTGGAACTTCAGCCACGAGTAACCTACAGCTAACCCATATCTATGCATTTTGTACCGTGAGTCCTGGTACTAGACACGCTCTTGCTAGAAATGTTTACACATTGGACTTCAGAACAAGCAAGTATCCATTCAAATTAACTGAATATCTCTGATGTGCTGCACGAGATTCTGATTTTTGTTTTGCCTTACAGAGTTCTGCTGCTCAGCGTAGCAGTGCTGTCACTCTACTCGGTCCACCTCTTACTGAAGACATCAAAAGAAGGAGGTATGAAGATCAAAAATCCCTATTGCATGCACATTTTTTTATCTTGGAATGCAATTTGTCACATGCATTCACTGTAGTGGTCCATGGCTCTTATTTATTTTGGTGTTTTGGGTGTTTTTTTTAGGTTCATTAATATATGAAAAACTGGGAGAAAAGGCATTTGGATGGCCTGGGAAGTGTAGTGTTTTCATTTCAGTTACAATGCAGAATATTGGAGGTAAGGGTAAAAAGATTTTAGAATAGTTTTCTAACTTCCAGTGCTTTTCTAGAAAACTACTTTCTTCTCTCTGGCTAAATGACACTGTAGATGACCAGAATACAACACACGTTATTAACAAAGGAATGCAAGAGGAAATCTTGCCTTGCTTCAGATGACACAGTGGTGTCTGCTAAAAGCTTGTTTCACAAGATATCTGCACGAGCAATGCAGGTACTTCTGCAATGACTAAAATGGCTTGGCCATTCATTGACTGTGGCACAGGCTAGGCATCTGCCTGAAGTTAGAGGAGATGAATCTCACCTAAAAGGAGAAGCATATAGTTCCAACTTCTACTTTTCTACCTAGACACAGCTGGTTCATATCTATCTATTGCAATAGCTTTTTTGATTGTGTTCATGAACTATCCTATTCCAGGTCTTCCTCTTATTCTCCAAATATGTATGCTTTGGTGATTGAGAGGAATACCTCTTTCCTCTAGACCAGTGGTTTTCAATTTGTCCAGGTTGATCCAGTGAGTTCCAAAGAACTCTCTGTGACCAGTGTAAGATAAAATGTGTGCTGTCTGCCAATATATTTAAATGAGATATGGAAGTCTATTCTTCTGCCAATGATCTTGAAAACTAGCTTTTTAGATATGTGCAGTAGAGTATTTGGAGAAAGAAATTAGAAATAGAAGGGACAAGATGGACAAAGAGATTTAGAGAAAGTGACAACCAAATTTTCTACAAAAAGTGGGCGGGCAGTGTCCATTGGAAAAGCAACATTTAGAAAAGAAAAACAAAAGGAAAATTTACAGGTGTAAATTTCATAACAGTGATTTGAATATGTTGTTAAATTAGTAGTAGCTATTGTAATCTAAGACTAAATGCTAGGTGTCATTCAGGATATGTTCATAGGAGAAAAATATCTCTTTAAATAACATTTCTTTATTTGCATTGTGATTTGAATAAAATTCTTTCTGTATTTTAGCAAAATCTGATTTATCAAACCTGTATGTTTTTCATGTAGCATCAATGCTTTTTAAAACAAATTATTTTCTGAAAGTGTTTGCTTGATTTTCAGCAATGTCAAGCTACCTCTTTATCATTAAATATGAACTTCCTGAAGTGATCAGAGCATTTATGAAGCTTGAGGAGAATTCTGGGTAGGTACCTTTGCCTAACCTGAACCTGAGACAAAAAAATCTTTTTGTATATCATGTCAATGATAATGATTGTTATCTTTTATTTCCCCTCTTTAGAGAATGGTACCTAAATGGGAACTACCTTGTCATACTTGTAACAGTTGTGATTATTCTTCCCCTTTCTCTTCTAAAAACATTAGGTAAGGTTAATGTCCCACTTAACCTCTTTTCCTATTTCTGTTAGGACTGTGAATTTATATGTAGCTGAATAATATATACATATACTTTTTTTTTTTTTTTTTTTTTGCTTCATAGGTTATCTTGGTTATACGAGTGGTTTTTCGCTGACGTGTATGGTTTTCTTTGTCAGTGTGGTAGGTAATTGTTCAGGACTTGCCTCTAAGCAAATATAGAGCCTGTGAAATGCACAACATTAATAAATCCCTTACCATCACAATTTAATAGGGATGTTAGAATAGTACCTGCAAAACAAACCAAGTGCTGAATAAAACCAGAATTAAAAAGATCAAACTAAAAAGCAGCACTTAAAAGAATAAAACAAAGCAGAGCAACAGCAGAACCAGAATAAAAGCAGTTATTTGCTGGAGAAGCAGAAGTGATAGCATTTGGTTTCATGCTCCCTCTCTTTCCCTTCTCCTTTCTCTGTGCCTGTTTTTGTTCCTGTTGGTTTATCATGGCTGTAAATTTAGTCTCATACAGGAGTACTTTACTGATGACATTGTCTACTGTATTGTAGGTCATCTTCAAGAAATTTCAAGTGCCTTGTCCTCTCCCCATCATGGATCATGGGGTTGGAAACTGGACAGCCACCAACATCACACTGCCAATGCACCTGGTCATGTTACCAAATGAGTCTCTCAGTTCTGGTGTGAATTTCATGATGGACAACACAGTTGGGCACGTGACAGGCCTTGAGGAGCCAAGAGATACTTTCCTCAAAAGTGGTGTAGAATACGAAGCACACAGCGACAGCAGTGACACATGTCAGCCCAAATACTTTGTGTTCAACTCACGGGTAAGGGAGATTGTGTAGAATTTGTCTTTTGCCATTTGTGCCACAGCTAAACTGCTGCCTGCCAAAAGTCAGAGGCTTATAGCAGTGACCATTCTTACTAATGGGAGCTTTATTTTACAGACTGCCTATGCAATACCCATCCTGGCATTTGCATTCGTATGCCACCCTGAGGTGCTACCAATATACAGTGAACTGAAAGAGTAAGGTTCTTGAATTTTGTCCCGTACTTCCAGTTAACAATAGCAGAGATCACTTTCTTCCTGTTCTGCCTTGATTGCGGGTGTATAGTCACCTACCTGATATGATTTATTTTGCACCATAATAAACAGATATCAGCTTTGCTTTCACCTAAGAGTCAAAGAACTGACAAAGAACTGCTGTTCATAGAGCTGCATTAATATGTACTAAGGAAAGGATGAGTTTGGACAGTCCTTTGAATGACGTGAAATATGATGGGGAATTTGGCTGCAAAACAGACAGCGCTGAAACCAAGAATTCTGGTCTCTAAAAATATCTTAACGAGTTCTTCGTCAGAGTCAGCTGTCGCTTACTCTTAAAGTTCCCTGGGATGCCATTGGTTTGAGTGTCTTACATAGACTCTTAACTTATCCCATTTTGATTACCAAATATCAAAATCAGACACATTTGCTTAAACTAGCACGGAGCTGGTAGTTGGGAAAAGCTAAGAAAATCTAAGTTGTTGAGCAACAAGAATTACATTACAGGAGTTTGTGTTGCAAAACTCAAGGAGGCCAAGCCCCATTACCTCCTATTTTAGCATACTTAACCTCAGAATTAAAAATTATCAGATGATATGGAATTTGTTTCCAGGTTCTATAAGCTGAAGATTTCCTTATAAAGAAATATTTAACCAAGGGTTCTCTGAAGAAAGGAGTTGATAAAAGAGATACTTGAACCTGCAGAACAGTGCTACATAGATAAAAAGGAATATTCATACAGAGCTGCCTGAAAACTCTTGTCTCATTGTTACCAGCCATATAGTTTTAGCTATTCCATTTTTTATTTAAAATGCACCATTTGAAATTTATAGTATAGAAATAATGATATTTAAAAAAAAAAATTGTTTACATGTTATCACCCAGTAAGCAGTAGAAACGAAGTTTCAATTCATTCTTTTGGTGCTGTTCAGTGCAGAGCTATTGTCACAAAGCTTCAAGAGCTTTGGATAATGCACAGAGCTGCTATGACCTTTCTAGCCAACGAGGGAATGCCAGTAGAGGTCCCTCAGAGTACTTCTTGTGCAAGTAGAGGCTTTATAAGAATAGCACTGTTACTCTTTTTCTCTCCTACGCCAGTCGTTCCCGAAAGCGGATGCAGAATGTCTCAAACATCTCCATCACTGGCATGCTCATCATGTATCTTCTGGCTGGTCTCTTTGGATATCTTACCTTCTATGGTAGGTTGAAGGCCTGTTCTCTGCAGAATTTTCTCTCTTGTTTCGAAACAGACAGGATGAATCAATCACATAAAGACAGAAGTGTTCATGTGTTTTCTGTGGGCCTTAATTCAAGCACTAGTATTATTCAAAAATAATATACTGCATGTAACCTCCTCCATAAACAGTGAGACTTATCCAGTTCTCAGGCCACACAGTCCTCATCCTTCAGGGCCTTAGATGGTCCAGTTGTGCATCTCGTAGCTTTGTGAGCTCAGACAGCAAATTGCTGTAAAAACTTGGCTCTTGGAAGAAGCCAAGAGTGAAACATTAAAAATACTCTGATGCTTGACAGTTTTACATGACACTGTTAGCTGCTATTCACCCTGGCTCTGATGCTGATAATTTAGCCTCACCTGTGCTGAAAAACAGGAGCAAACCATTCTAGCATAAAGAGTATACAGATGAACTGGACTAAGCGGTAGGTAAACAGAGTAGCTCCTATATTAGCACACTGGTTTATGTAAACACCACATCTTTTTACCTCATTAGTTCCTTTGTTACAGCAAAGAAGTAAATGACACAGTTCAACTATACTGCTGTGGCAAAAGGGCTGGGAGGTTTGGGTGGAGGTTCAGGGATCTTCCCAGTTCAATCACTCATTTTTTGTCTTGTGTCAGAGAAATTTTTTTGCCTCAGGTTACACATCCACGCAATGACTGCGAAAGTCATTTGAGAAGCTGAAGTAGAAAGCATCACCTCATAGATGTGCTTATACTCATCATCTCTGAATGATGGACTTGTATCAGTCATGCCGGGAAAATTCCTCTTTGGTGCCCAGCCCATAACATGGATCTGATGGCAGCAGCTGGGCCAGAGCTAATCTTGTCTGGCTGCAAAATAAAGACCTCTCTTTTGCGTGTGTAGATACCATTTAAGGGACTTAGATCCCTTCTGTTTCCTTTTTGCAGGAGAAGTTGAAGATGAGCTACTTCACACATACACCAGGGTGTATACTTTTGATGCTCTCCTTCTGTCCGTGCGCCTCGCAGTGCTGGTGGCTGTCACCCTGACTGTGCCCCTTGTCCTCTTCCCTGTAAGTAAAAGAGCTGCTGAAGATGAAATCAGGGCTGGCCTGTAGACACTAACTTCATGTGCTTAGCAGAAGCAGGCTTTAACATTAAAGAAAAGCAAGTCTGGGTTTTGTTTCGAGGAGCAAGTTGTTTCATATGCAGCTTGCCCACAGCAACCACATTAGGCAGCTAGGGTTGCAGACTTTGAAAGACTGAAATAAATCAGTCCTTATAAATAAACCAGAAATAAATCAGGAACAACTGCCCTGGCTCCCTCTGGCTCTTTCTGCGCTATATTTAACAGTGCAAGCACTGAAGACTGGAGATATACTCAAACCACCTACAAGATTTCCTAATACGTACCTACTACAGCATCCAAACTCAACAGAATGCATGCAGTTTACACCATGACTGTCCCTTGTGCCTTCCCAATGCAGCCAGACAGAAAACATTGTTGGCCACAAGTTTTGGGGGCTCGTGTGCTGTTCTGTGGAGCAGGCCTCAGTCCAGCGCCATGTGCAGGTGGGCTCCATTGGCCTGTACTGTGGCTGCTGCTATCTGACAAGAGCAGCAGCCCTGGAGTTTTGCTTTTCTATTGTCCTGGATGCAAACACCAGTTCTGTGTAAGTATTGTTTCCAGGCTCACTGACAAATGCTTCAGAGCAGTGATCATCATTCAAGGTTGCCTGCCAAAAAATATGTTTTGAGGTGAACCAATCACTTTGAGGGCTTTATCCTGCTCAGAATACTGTGATGGTCTGCCCTAAATGTTGTGTTTTAACCAATGACTCAGTGCTTGAATTTTTCTTAACTAGCTCAGCACTCTTCATGGGAAAACAGAGCACTGCAAAAGCCTCTATCTGTCAGAAAAAGCATTTTGCATTTTTAGCTTTTTGCATAATTATTCTTATGTTTGAATAATGTGCAAAGGCTTAGCAGTTACACACCGCAGAGTTAATTGCCCTAAAAAAAAAAAATACAGAGGAAATACAATTTTCTTTAAAGCCTGCATATCAAACAACTTTGTTGCACATGAAGTCAGTCTGTTCAGCATCACTGATAAATCAATTACTCCAGTCAAGCAGCATAGTTATACAGCAGTTTTTCTAGGAACTACTACATTTTTTATGAACTACTACATTTTCATAAAGTGGTCAGAATTTATTCTTTAAAAAATAATAATAAAAAGAAAGAAATCACTGCATTTCCATCTTTAAAAAGTCTATTTACCATTATTCAATGTGAAATTTCAGTCTCATGACTTCACTTCAGTGGCAGCATGACAGCAGTAATAATGCACAGGATACTGACAAGTGTACAGGAATGCAGGCAGTGCTTCTTCAGAGTGGTAAAGGTGTTTTACACCAACTCAGGGACCAGATGAAAGTTTTGCTCCCTACCTTCTTCATAATGTTTGTTCATGTCAGCCTGAAAAACACAGCATACAAAATGAATGCTGTATTTTCATACGATGGGCTTTGAGTCTGACAGAACTCCATACTATTACTGAACAGCCAAACTCATCCAGAAGCAGAAGTGAGCCTTGAGCTTTTTCCAGTTTCAACTTCTACCTTTCAAATCTTCTAAGCTTATCACAGCACTTCACAGTAACACTATCTAACTGCCACCAGAGGGATTTGCAGCTGACCTTTCTCCTACTTTCCATTTTCCCTGATGAAAAAGCAAAGAAAAACCCAACTCCATTGTGTGAGAAAGTGAAGCAAAAAAAGGATCTTTTGCAACAGCTTTTTTATCTATAATTTGATATATTTTCTTTTCCATGTGGTAAGAGATGCTTTTATTTTGATATATATATTTGTATGTTTAATGAAAGTAAAACAAAGTTTTCTTTCTTTTACAAAAGTAAATTGCAGATCTCCTGTGAGATTTTCAGGAGGATCAGGTTCAGGAATACAGCAACTCAATTCAGATTTCACCTGTGTACGTTTTGCCTGCTGATTAGTATTCACAGTGGGGGGATCTCTGGGCTAGTTTGGTTGTGGTTGTTTTTTGGTTTTTTTTTTGCTGATGCCACATGTTTCAGTTGAGCAGATTTCATCTCCCCGATTTTACACCCTATTTACTCATCTTTCTCCTACACAGCAAATATTTGAGTTTCTGCATGAAACTGTGAGCCCAGTTCTCAAAACCTACGCCAGAGTGAGATTACATTAAGGGAGCTGAAGACTGAAAACAAAATTCTTTGGTCAGAATTTCTCACAGCAAAAGTAACCAGTGTATGTCATTTAAAAAGTGAGAAGCAAAGATAAAATAATTGCTGTTTTACTTTCCTGGATTATTTTTGTCTTCCAGATTCGTTCATCTATCAGTGCATTACTGTTTCCCAAAAGGCCATTCAGCTGGATACGGCACCTTCTGATTGCAACAGTAATTCTTGCTTTTAATAACATGCTTGTGATTTTTGTCCCAACTATTAAAGACATATTTGGATTTATCGGTAGGTTTCATAAATACTTTTTGTTTACTGTGTTTATACTTTCTACAACATTTACATTTGTGGACTATATGATAGTCTCCATGTGGATCTTACAGTGGAATAACATAAACACCAATTTGATTTTATATAGGATAAGTTAAAAAGTCAATGTGAAGTCCCCATGGTGTATTGGCTGCAACTCTGCCCATGTCAGAGGAGTTGGAACTGGATGATCTTAAAATCCTCTCAACCCAAGCCATTCTATGATTCAGTGCCCTTTTGTCCCCACTTCAACAACTCACATGCAGACATGTACCTGCAGACAGACAACTAATGTCTCTTTAGCCCTGTGCACTCAAGTGCCACACTTGAGGATGGGTCTCAGCAGACAAGAATAACTGTACCCCAAAGGAAGTTGCCCAAATCAGTCCCCATAAAACCCACAAAAATTATTCCTTAAACAGAAACCCAACTCTTCTGCAGGAGGCTCTCAAGCCCCCTGAAGTTGAAGCCATGCAAGTTGAAGGTCATGCATGACCACAGGAGAATTCTGCACAAATATTCCCCATCTCTTTTCACCTTGTCGGTGCACCATGCTGGCAGTGTCACGCAACATGGTACTCAACTTTGGTCTCTCTTCTAGGTGCCTCTTCTGCCACCATGCTGATCTTTATCCTCCCCTCTGCATTCTACCTGCGGCTTGTTAAGAAGGAGCCCATGAGGTCTCCCCAGAAGATAGGGGTAAGGATGCTGGCAGCAATTTTTGAGGAAGGATGATGGGAGGGTGTGTGCTTTCCACCGGCCCCAAATACAAGGGCTTTTACTTGCGGTGTCTGAAACCTGATCATAAATGGTAAGGGCTCATCAGAACGCAGATTGGACAGTGTGATTCACTATAGCATGGAGACCTAGGCTGTGCAAGTGAAATTGTTTAAAGCTCTACTGCAGCTGCTAAATTAACAACAGTAAGTGTCTAGGTTAAAGTGTCTCTTACGACACTAGAAAAATGAATTTATTTAATTGGATCTAAACTGTAGTTAACATCTTCACCTATATAATTGATACCTAAATTGTGCATAAGACGCTGTTGGTCCATGCTAGAAGGCTATCTATGGGTTAATAGGAAGATGTAAGGTCTAGATTAAGGAGGTTGTACTGCAGAGATAATGAAGTGATACAAATATGAGAGCTCTCCATTGGGATAGATTCATACACTGACAGGAGATACACATGCAGATCTATCATTTATGTGCAGCATGTGTTTATACATCATGCTGGACTACTGCAGCAGCATCTTGTATCCATGTATTAATGCACACATTAGTAGTCACCTGAAATTTAAGAGTATCACTGAGGATATGTCCTTTGAACAATTAATCAAAATATATGGATGAAATATTTATTCAGGCACATAAAGTAAGTAGACATACATAAGTACAGCTTTATATATCTTTAAAAAAAAAAAAAAAAAGTAAATGGAAATGGAAGAAGATGGAAGAAGTTCAATTTGTACATGATGTGTGTGCAAGTGTGAAAGACTGTTACCATAAAATGATTTCTGAAGATAATTTTTGGAACAGTTGTTGTTAGGGAGATAGACTATGCATATTTTTCCATGGCTCTTTGTTCATTCTTCATGATTCTATGCTAGGCATATCTAGAATTTCACACTCTGCACAAAGATCACGCACAATATTTGTCTTTGTGTTATGAGGTAGCTTATTGTTGAGTGTGGACAGATTCTGAAAGCCAAAGCCCCACTGAAGCAAAGGGGGAATGTAAGCACCTAGATCACTTGACTATATGCAGAAATGCTGTCAGAGAAGAAAGATGGGCTTATCTTTTGGCTAATAAAGATGTAAAGGATTAACTCTGAAACTGTTCTTGATATTGGAAACAATGAATATCCACTGAAAATTGGTCAATTTTTAAAGGAAAAGAAGCTGTTCTTCAGTTATAATTTGTATTATTATTTATATAAACAAAGTTGGGTTGGTTTTTTTTAGATTTAGTCTTGTAAAGCTTGGCTCCTTTGGACTGAAATTTTACATAGAATTAACTTTGATTCACATAGCCCTGTATGGTTTTACTTAGATTCATTCACAGAGAATGGCCCCAATTCAGGACCTTGGCATTATAGAAATGTGATTACCTTGGAAAAGTCTAAACTACAGTCTGCTCAGTCATTTTCTTCATTAATACAATTTTATTTTTCAATTACAGGCTCTAATTTTTCTTATAGTTGGCATAATCTTCATGATTGTGAGTATGACTCTCATTGTAATGGACTGGATTTACAATCCCCCAAGTTCCCGACATCACTAACCTGTGGAAAGAACCAAGTGCTTTTCATACCATAATGTTTGGATTGTGTGCTCTAAAGGACACCAACATGGCACAGTTATTCCTAGCTAGTAACTGCAATATGTTGAAGACAGTTTCTGGGTAGGACACTAGAACCCAGTGGAGTCTATGTCACTAAGGACGGTTATTTATGCATTAGGAACCCGAGCTTAACACTTCTTGCCAGGTTGAATAAAATATGTGATGTGGGTGCTTTCTATTTTCAAAACAAATATAAGAATAACTGTGTACGTAGTCCTTAACAGTCGTTTGGTCCCACCCTTTTTGACCTCTCCCATTATATTCATAACACAGTTCCTAGAGCACTGGAAAGGTAATGGCCAGAAAACCAGCTAGTGCCTTGTTTTGCACATGAAGCACATAGGAGCGGCTGCCCAGCTCCTAGAGAAAATGTATGATTTCTGTAGGGGATCAGAGCAACTTCTCCCCATGGACTGGTCTATCAGAAAGGTGACAGCTTTGGCAAGCCAGTGGACAAAGCCGAGCATCAGATACGTTGCCCATATTTGTCACCCTCGACACATGATGGCTGTTGTATGGAATAAAGCTCTCTTGCACAGGAGCCCCTGTGCTGTGACTGAAGAACATCTGACCATTCATGTTTTGTTGTTAAAGATGTCTCTGCTGGAAATGTTAGGCACTTCTGGGGTGGGTTTTTTGGTTTTTCTTAGCTTTTTTAATTCTTGTCTGAGCTTGCATCACTGAACAAGTACCATCCTCCATAGAAGCTTGTCTTCCATTCTCACGGGAATTTAAGGAGACCACACGGTGTGGCTGAGCACCCTATGCAGTATTGTTCAGCACTTGTCTGTTTGATAAATGTTCAGTGCAGGAAACTGTAATTTGCTATATATATAAATATATGTATTTATGTACATAATCCTTTGTTTTCTTCTAGTTATAAAAATATTACCCTCCGGTACATGATTTCTGATTTATTTTTTTAATTTTATTTTATATGTCACTGTTTTCACAGCCACACACTAAGTATTGTTTTGAAGAAAATATTTTGGATTACTGGGTTTGTTAAAGGCTCGTTTTATTCAGTAGCATTTGAAATATACTTGCCACAAACCCTGGCCGTTACCTGTGTAAAAACAAATTCAGACATTTACTACTTATGTTACAATAAATGACAATAAAGTTGTTTTCCTCTTGAGAATTTTTAATACGTGCATCAAAGTTCTGCATTACCACTATAAACCAAGAACTTGGCTAACTTGCTCTGTGGCTTTATTTCAGCTCAGCTATGCATATGCCAGCATTCAAAAGCATGCATAATTAAGCTATGCAAAGGAAAAGATATTACTGATAATCTCAAGTGTATTGTGCTACACAGCTGTGCAAGAGAAAAGAATGTGATGTTCCATGTTATAAGGATGCTTAATTAGCATCTAGTAGCCTCCAGACTGTATTTTGTCAGATCTGTGGGGAACTCTACACATGTTCTCTGTACTATTTTTCTCAAAGGAAAAGTAGTCAGAGAGGTGACAGGAGATCAGTAGAAGACAGAACAAGTGGGAAGGTGCAATTGTTGGGTTTAACATGTTTAGGAAAATCCAGTCTCCTGTAATTGGCGTTTCCATTTTCCAGCTTAAAAATCTGTTGCATGCATGCATGTGAAATCTGAAAGCCAACAAAAGCTGTCTCTGTCCACTCTTCAGCTTCACATAAAATTGACCATGTGTGTCTCTCTGTGTGCATGCCTGCTAAGCGTGGGTAGACATACCAGTTGGCTGGAAAAGTGTATCAGTTATATATTCCATGTCAACTGCTGTCTTCTGAGCACTATTTTACACTCACTTGAGTACTGCATCATTAATACTGTAGGCCATACACCCTTGTGAATGCTGACTGGTTTTGTTTTTTTTCTTCAATTTTTCCCATGTTTTGTTCAATTTGAAGCAGACGAATACCAGTAATGTTCCATTAGTACTGAAAAGCTTTGATGTGAACTGAAGTTAATAGCAGTATGCCCAAACACCTCTCTTCTTATTAGCATTAGTGAGTTACATGTATGGAACAACTGAAACATAACTGAGTTTCTGTTTCAGAGCAGTTACATCTATTGTCTGCAGCTGCATGTGGAAACTTAGAAATTCATGTCTCACATAACATGTAGATGACCTCAAGAGAAGAACTGAAAGACTATGGAACAATGGCTCTAGTCACTGGCTTTTAATGGCACAAAAATATTGGTGTCTGGCATAAAGGTCTGTAACATGTCAGATATTCTAGTTAATAAGCATTGCTCACAGCAACATGCAGCTGTTAGTGGGAGTAAGGCTAGCATTGCATATTAACTTCTTAGCACTGCTGGAAATGGAGGATGTTGCATTTTCTTGTTTGTCCTGTCATGTTGACAATGAGGATTTTTATTACAAAACTCTCCATTGATGTACAATAAATGAATTTCTCAAGGACTGCAGATCTCTCTTCTATTTTAGGCTAGCAAGAGAAGGAATGTTTTGAAAATCAAGCAGAAACAAACTAAGCCTTGACATGAGCATCACTAAACCTATGCTCCCTTTTAAGAGAGAAAGATGTGTATGCATAAATTTGCACCTTCTTCGTACAATAACCATGATACTTACTCTGTTTTGTATCTATTCATGGAACTTCGCAGACATCATCGAGTAGAGAATGGCTGGCGTTAAAAGTGGAGCTATCTGCATGACACTGAAAGTATCGTTCTTTGGGGCATGGGATTAGCCCAGATACGCAGTGCAGCAGCTAAGTATAGCTGCTGTTAGGAGTGTGCACCAGATGGCACAGTTCTATATAAATACTTCCTATCGTTGCAGCTATAGATTTTCCTACTGTTACATATTTGTCTGCTGTATAATCATAGCCCAAAATACATGGGTCTGTCCAGCACCAATGAGCTCATGTGAGAACTGCATACCCCATGCCAGACATCCTGCTCCCATAGCTGCCTGCTAGCGGGCCCAGACACTTGCCAGACTCCCAGAACATGAACAGTACCTGCATTACACCCAAGAGCGCCCTCAGAATCCTCTCACCCCTTCATCCCATCTCATCATTCCAAAGTGCACACCGCCACCTCTGCCTGGGACACGAAGTCCTCGAAATCCTCATGGATCTTCTCCTGGTGGTTAAACCTCCTTAATTCCCTGCATCATCTCCTTTGCGCTGTCTTCACATTTCTTGAGCTATAAATTCCCTGTGTCCCGAACTTGCTTAATTAAACTCATATAGTTGATGCAATTGAATGAGTTTAGCTAGAGAAAAGGAAAAAAACATGTTTTCAAGGACAAAAAAAAAGAAAGCAATGAATCTGTACTAGACATTCTATCAGACAAAAGAATGTATCACTGAATGGACATTGCAAGAATACTAGGATTGATTTGGAAAGAAAAGAAAAAGAAAATACAGAAACAAAACGCATGTTTCAGTTTTGGACTTGGAAAGAAACTGAACAAGGGACACTCATCAGAGGGCAAAGTCCTCTCTACTCCGTAAATAATCAAAGACAATGTTAAACAACAGCTATCTGAAAAAAAGGCAGCAGGGATAGATAAGCTGCAAAGCAGCTGGCTCTGGTGTTAATTTTCAGTAAATGTTGTCTTGCTTGGCTACTTCTCAATAGTTGACATAATAGTAATTAGAGCTAGTCAGCAAGTACTGACTAAGAGGACTAGTTGATGGGATAGATGAAATTTTCCATTCCTTTGACTTAAAATTTCAGTGGAATTTTTCCTAAAAATGTGTTAATGCAACAAAATTGTGGTGCAAATGGCTTTCCATTAAGAGTGGCATTCTCTGGCCCACGTGCTTTGACTGAGGGTCCATGATGAGCTTAGGATGGCAGATTCCTGCCATCAAAGTTGTCCTTGGTGCAGCAGTGTCAATTCCTTCAAGGCATCCATGCTGTATGGTGCAGTCTGGTTACATCCTGCAAAAAAAGAACATTTGGAGAAGAGAACCTGCTGCTTGTTCTTAGCTAATGAAATGACAACTTACTAAAAATACTTTCAAGCTTCTGCTGAACAGGGATCATAAAGACTGCTTTTGTAAGAGACATGCAGCTGGAGGGGTCTCGAGTAATCTCCCATTGCACACTTGGACCAAGCAGCAGTCCTTAGTGTTTGCAGATAACAATGGTTCCAGCTGCTCATTTCAGACCTTCAAAAATTCCAGGAAAATAAAAATAATTGCTGTGCTAACTGGCCTCACAAGCACAAAAATCTGCTGAGTGTCTCAAGGGACACCACAAACAGCACCACAGCTACCGGCACACCCTCTGCAAGGGGCTGTAGGGTGGCCATCCCCACCAGTCTTGTGTGTGAGGAGTTACGTCAGACAGAGCCCAAATCCCCCTGCCAATGTGGTGAGCTAAGTGCTAAATCTAACACATCGTAAAGTGGCAAATATCTTTGGAAACCAATACAGCACCCTAATTTGAGATGAGATGGAGACCTTGTTCTGTTACTAACAATAAACCAGGAGATGTATGTCTCCCAGCAGAAGCAAAAATAAATATATTGGGACTCCTGCTTGGCCAGAGGTCTCTGGGACACCGAGATGGATGCTTCAAGTTCCGCATGCACAAATGGAAAGTGTTTGCGGCATTCATTCATCTCTGTGTACAGCACACACCTCTTCTGGCATGTATGTATTGGGAAAGTGTTACCCTGTCCTAAATAACAGGCTGTCTGCAAATAAATTATTACCTGTCTGTTTATTCACAGAAGGAAGGTCCATATCTTATTCCAGGGGAGGGCTGATGGAAGCCTCTGTTCCCTTCTCTGAGGGGAAATTTCTTCCTCTCCCCCCTACAGAATACCTGACTCATCCCACCATCTCTGCCTGGGGTTGGTGGATTCAGCTTTCATACAAGCAATTGACCCAGTTCCCACATTGCCACGGTCAAACTAACCCAATAGCTTCATTTACATAACACAAGTGCTGACATAGACACCTCTCCTTTGAATCCCCACCTCTACATTGGTCCATCCCAAATGAATCAGAGGCTTAGCATAAAACAAGCCACTGTCTCCTAATATTTGGGAATTAACTCTGGAAGCGACAGCTGTTCTTTCCAGATCCCCTTTTCGAATACCCCATGTTATTTAGTTTCCTACAGGTCAGTTGGTGCTCTCCCCTTGGCCTGCAAAAATACCTCCTCGCCATTCAGAGGCACTTCAGCCTGATGTATTGCTAGTGGACAAAAATAGCTGCCCTACTTATGTCCTCAAAACCCTGTTGAAAGGATTAGGAGCCATGTGTTTCCATCCACTAACTACATACATCTGGAACCTGCAGTGACCCAATATAAACCTAGTCATGGTGCCTCTGATGTCTTAATGCATTCCTTGTCTTTAATAATGCTTTGAATTCTACAAGTCATTTTATAAATTTTCTACAAAAAAAATACAATTCAGACCTGTTTTAATTCACCCTAAAATAAAAAATTTGAATTGCCTATACTTTGTACGCCCAATAGAAATAAATATTCCACATTATCCTCTAGAAGAAATAACATCAAACCCTAGACTGCCACAGAGAATGTAGATTCTTCAATTGCTCATGAAGAATGTGCTGGACACTGAGTACTGCTGCTAACCACTCACAGTGAGTTGTGTAAACATCCTCACAAAGTGCAGCTAAAGTGACAGTGGGCAATTAAAGCAACTGTGTTCTTAAAATCTATTGAGAAATGGAAGACAAAATGACTCAGAACACACCCTGAAATTGTCTTGAATTCTGAAGACCTCACAGTACTACGTAAATTCAACAAGTTACATTTAATCTAACTGCAATT